GGAAAGAGTCAGGGTACATGCCCAACTCTGGGACAGTGTTCACTGGTGTGAATCCCTATAGGAGATGAATGTCTGATCCTAGAGTGGACTGGGGATAAAGTCACATCCCTGTCCTCAGCATTTCTCATTGGCTAGTTTAGGCAACACTTTGTTCAACATGTTGATTTTATGGATCCCATATGTATTCACCTACATATCCCTTACGTATTGTACAGGATTGTGGATTCCATTAGGTACCCTAATGTTTTGTGTTGCTATACATAAGTCCTTTTGTGGATATAGCTCTTGAGTCTCAAATCTCCAAGGTACTTAGGCACATAACTCCCCTTGAGTTAGGACTCTAAATCCCTTTGAAGGGCTCTGCCTACAAAGATCTTAAGGCAGTTTACGGTTGTGGATAAGAATCATTTGTCTCATTTTGTACATGGGAAATCTTAGAGGGATTAAAGTGATATGGGATGGTTTGGATAGAGATGAGCCTGCCTCAGGAAGGGGGTTGGATTAGATGGCTTCTGGAGGTCCCTTACAGCCCTACTTCTGTATGATCTATGATACGTTCATGGTCACACAGTGAGTTAGTGGCAGAGCCAGGTTCTACTTAGGGCTGCCTATACACATGCTCGTTGATGTTCTAATTAGAACACATCTGCATTCTAATTGTAATGCTGTAGCGTCGCTGCTGTATCACAGGTATTAAGCCCCTGTGCATTTTTAAATGGTGGCAGGGGTGCTTAAACTAAATCTGTTGAATGAGGTTTAGATAAAGAGTCCCATGTACATTTTTAAACATGGGGCTTAGTACACATAACGGTGAGGTGTTTTAATTAGAGTGGCTGCCCGGGAACCACTCTCATTAAAATGCTCCCCCCACCCACCTCCATGCATGTGTATAGCCAGCCTAGGTTTCCTGACTTCGTTTTTACTATTATCATATTGCCCCAAGCCCTTACATAGGGCATCACAACCATTAGTTAGTTCCTGTTGTTCTCAAAAGAGATGTCAAAACTTCAGTGTATTCACGCCCATATATCATCTAGGAGCAGCAGTTCTCCATTTCTGGGGTATATGTTCCAGCTGGTATTCTGCACAGAAAAGTTAACAAATCAAAGTGAGCACTCTAATATAGGATTTAAGATGCAGAATGGTCACCGGATTAGCATAAAGGATGTACATCATTCTGTCTTCTAAATTCTCCATTTATTTATCACATTACATGTTTCTTCAGAATAAAACAAGTACCTGGTAGTCCTTGGCAAGCCAGAAAACTTGAAAGTAGAGCCAACTCATGCATCTAGTTTGGCTCTATAAGCCAAAACATAAGCTAAGCCATGGGATCTGACTGTAAAAAAGCAAATACAAAATGTGGTACATAAGTTACTGCCCAAGAAATGTGATAATCGTCTGACTGGTTTAGCTTTCTCTCTGGCTCCTCTTAACTGATGGAAGTAAGGCCAGATTTTTCAGTGTTAAAGCCTAGCTTAAATTTTCTTTGTGTGGCCCATAGCTAATTCATTTTTCCTCATTACAAAGAGAGGTACAAATTTGTGATAGACATGAACAGCCACAGCCAATTCTCTTAGATGGGTTTTATAGACACAAGTAGATATTCTAAATATTCTCAGATGGATGGCAACCTATCCGAGTGCTTTAGAAAAGAGAGGGAAGCTGAATAGTACAATTGGGTGTAACTCCTTTTGTGCCCAGAAATATGTTTATACTTTATTAACAATTAGAGAGGAGAGGCATCCAATACATTAACTAACCCATCCCCCATCATTAACTAAGCCATTCTTTGGTATATTCTTTTATTCATTGCCTAGACAACCTGGAAAGTCAAGTCCAGTTAGTCCCACTGACTTCATGTTTAAAGTTAGGCACATGCTTACTTGTCTTCATGAATCAAGATATAAGTGTCTTAGTGGTGGGGTGTTGACCACTTCTCTCCAGGGAGAATTTTAGTCTAATATATCTCAAGAATAAGAAAATATTGCTGTACATAATTTTCTATTTAATCCCAATATTCCTAGTTCTCTGACCCTGAGATTACTAACACACTTAGTATCTTGGTATCTAAATCATAGTGCCCTGTACTGTCCTGAAGAGTACTATTCCCTCCCCTTTGCATATATCCTTCCCATGTCCTGTTATGTCCAGGACCATCACTGCTTGATGAGACAATACATATTACATTCTTTTAATCTTTCTTCACATCATCCTGTTAGCCCTGTGCACTTCTTCAAATGTCATATAATCAGCCTGTTCTCATCTGAGGATACCATTCTGGCAGCACAGCTTTTAGAAGCAATGTACGTAGGAATGAAGAAAAATAACAGAAAAGTACATGGTGCAGCCCAATGGGTTTCTGAGTACAGTGACTGCTGCTAAAAAGTCAGAATTTGGCTATGGTTACCACACAGTTGTATCAGCCTGTGCTTAGCTCAGCTCATGTCTTTGTATGGGTTGGGTGACCTCCTGAAGGCTTCTCTTACAGGCCTCTGAACCTCCATGCCCGTGCTTCCCTCTCTGTTACATAACTAAAAGAAGTAAGCATAACAGCACTTACCCAATACGACACAACACACCACTAACAGGTTTTCTTTTTTGTCTTTGTTCTAGATTGTCACAAAGAAATATCGCAACTATGAATTCCCAACAGAGATGATGGGACTGTGGCGGTACCTGAAGAATGCCTATGCCAGGGATGAATTCACCAACACCTGTGCTGCGGACAAAGAAGTCGAACAAGCCTATGCAGATGTGGCCAAGCGGCTCAGCAAATCCTAACTGACACCTGCACACACCAGCACAGGCTCAGTGTCCCTGCGGATCTCCATTTCACAGACTCCTTTCCTTGTTGCCTTAGGATATATTTGTCATTACATTATGTGGTTGGCATCCCCATGATTTCAGCTGTTAAAGTGAATTGGTCAGGGATAAATCTGCCTCTCCCTTGAGAAAACATAAGGCAACCACAGTGCAAGGCTAGGGGGGACCCTCTGAAATCTGAACCTAAGATCTGGAGCGAGTATTATCATTTGCAATCAGTATTTGAAAATAGTCCTTTTAGTTTTTTGGCGGTGGTGGGGAGGGGAATATCAGCCACCTAACTTGTCTGACTAGGGCCTTTAAAACTAGCGTTTTTAGCTGAAATTTCAAATAGCTGGATTTGGAATGTGCAGTACTGGTCCTTCCCTGGCTTGTGCCAAGGGCACCTTTTTCTGTTGTGATCTATTAAAAAAATCACTGCTGGTGGGACCTTGAGGTAAGAGAAACGTGTGTGTGAGAGCATGAAGGGAAAAACCCTCTGAGAAGTTATATTTAAAAACCTCCTTCAATACAGCTTCTTATTTAACAGTGCTAGGGGGTCTATAAGATATTTATTGATAACTTGACAGTAGTGGAGGAAGGATCAGTGAATATGTCCAACTTGCTACTTTGCATCTGACTTGCATGCTTCAATTTGAAATCTTAAAGGAAAATAGAATGAGACATTGAGTGGACAGTCCTTGGAAGAACAGCACTGATGCCAAAAAAGCCCACTCAATGTGCAAGTCAGTGGAGGGACTCAGGCACTACACTGATAGGGGCCATAAGATTACTCAGTTGTATCCTCACAGAAATCCTCACAGTTGACTGAATTCTTTGGGGCAGTTGCATCTTCGCTGTATATTTGCCAGCTTTGTTGTTATGGAGACATGGCTGCAGAGTAGAAACTGGTTGCCTTAAGTAGAGAGAAATACCTTCTTTCTTTTTAAGCTCCAGCTAGGTCACTCTCCAGCCTTCCTCTCCCATTATAGAGAGCAGAGTGGCCTGAAACTATTCAGTAGGATGAGTTGGGAAGGAGTCCATAAAAAAAAGACCTGAGGAAGAATGTCTTGCATTTGAAAGCTTGTCTGACTATCCCAACTACATCGTTAGTCTTATAAAAGATACTGCTGTAAGAAACTTTTGCCTCTCATATAAAAAGGAAGACTCCCATTCCTAACTGGAAAGTTGGCAAGTATACTAGCTCACATAAAAGCATGGTGGCTTGGTTTTATTCATTCCCATGTTTCATATAGCTACCATTTAATGACCCTCCTGATTGCTCACTTGGACTGCTTTTGGCAACTGGCTATTTTGTGCTGTGGGCAGCTGCTGCATGCCACAATTTGCTTTGAGCTGAACTTTACTGGTGTATCTCTTTAAGAAATTAAGGGTACCTATTCTTTTGTTCAGGACAGAAAAGGCTAAGTGTGTGCACATATTGAAGACAAGACTTTCAATCCAGATCTATCGATTTGGAAGGAGTTGCAGTTTTTTAAAGATAAAATAAGTTGACCTCAAGTACTCATTGGCTCCAGCCCTGGTCAGACCCCTACTCCTGCGTGGGACTGGCAAACCTTTACATGAAGGAAAGGCTTACAGTAAGAAACCCTAGCCCTGGTTTACAGTTAGAAAGAACTGGATTGGAGATTACTAACAAGGTCAGATTCTACTCTAGTACACTGCTGTAGATCTGGAGCAATTCCATGGACGTTGGTGGAGTTATTCTGCTTTCACTCCAGCCCAACGGGGAGCAGAATATTGGCCACTGATTGCAAGGACATTTTGTAGTTGACTATCATTTTGCCCATGGCAACCGTTTTTTTCTGAACTTTCCAAAAGCTTAGTTGAAAGTCCATGAACTCCCTGGTCTTCCCTCGATATGGGCTTTTTAAACAAAGGCGAGACTGGAGGGCAGAGACTCACACACTTCAAAATATTGCTGAGAAATCAACTGGCTCAGAGAGCACGAGTAACAGCCAGGAAAATCCAATGAGATTAGAAGAGACTGAACAAGCACATATGGCTTGTTAAACCCTTTTCTTCATCAGATTGGAATTATTTGTATTTTAAATAGATATTTAATTGTTTGTTTATTTTGTTTGATTTGGGCTTTTCTTTCTGTCTCTTTTTTCATTCAGCTTATGGGCTGGGCTGATTCTTACTGTAAGAATGTGTTATAACCAGGGCTTGCAAATTATTTTGTAATGATCAGTGCTTTCCTGATGTCTGACTAATGGCCGGTTAGGATTTTTTTCCAGCATGCCTTGGCAGGCAGAGCTCTGATCAACTGAGACTGTGCTTTTCTCCATCATTTCCCAGGTTTATATTTCAATTAGAAGCTTTGTCTAATCAGAACTGTGTGAACTGTGAATAAAAAAAAGTAGGAGGCAGATGCAGCCTGCTGCTCTGGGCATATTTCACTTGGCTCCTTTATGAAATGTGTAGAGACAGTGGGTCTCAGGGAAGGTAGATGAAGCAGTTCAGGACTGATGCTAATATCTGCTGTCCTCAGTTTCTTGAACCAAACTTGAATACGACCTTGAAAGGTTCTGTGATATTATAATACAGATTCTTTACATGTTCCCTACAACGCAGTCTAAAGGAAACTACACATTTTTAGTGCTGAACAAAATTCTCTTGTCAGAACTGTAGAAATCCTAAATCCTTTTGCCAGAATTATTTTACTCCCAACAAAATGTGGATTTTCATTGCAATGGACAGTTTGATTAAATAATCTGCATTTTCATTGAAAATGTGGGGGATTTCAGTATAAAACCTGAAAATCCCCAAACCTATTTTTTTAGTAAGTGAAACACTGAGTATTTTTGAGATTTTTTTTTTCAACAGCACCCTGAAAAATTAAAAAAGTTGATGAAAATGAAATAAAAAATTGCTTTTAGCAAAAGTTTCACAACTCTACCTCAAATTTAGTATAGAATCCAAGTCTGGATCTTGAATTTTGTACCTTCTCCCTTACTATCCTAGACTGACCTAAGTTTCTGGATGGATTCAGAAACTTCTTGAAATTTGTATGGGTTTCAAATCCAAAGTCAGATTTGCAGATGTCACATTTGCTCGCCTTTGTAATTCTTGCCTTTAGCCATGGCCAAAAGTAGGCAGTGCTTGGTATCTTGCACAGAAAATTATTTTTCTGTAATTTCCAGTCCAGCTCTCTGGACCCAAGATATTTAGATAAGCTTCTTTTTCCCATCACCAGTGAGATTTCAAAGAGCTCCAGGACTCTTCTATGCTGGGTATTTTTGTGCCCTTCCATTGTATTTAGAATTGCAAGTAGTAAATGTTAATCATGCAGAAGGTTGTTTATCTACATTGGCAAAGCAGCATTTCTGAAAAGAATCTAAGTGACAAGACAGACAGTACAGATTTACAATAACTTTGTTCATAAATTTCTTTCAAGATGTAAAGAAAGACATAGTGCAGAAGGGGAAGACGCCAACAATATGGATTTAATCATCTACATTTCAGAAATGCAGACCAAATGTCTGTAAAGATGTCCATTTCTTCCAAACATTTCTTAGATATTTTTTTCAAAGATACCGGTTCACTCAGTCCAACACTCCATTCATATTGGAACCAATATTGAATCCTCTTTCATTAATATTAATGTTGGCCTTTTGGGCAAACTCATACATTAGTAACGATCTTTCTTTCTGTTAGGATATGTGAGTTGCCAAAAAGTCGCCTTAGCTGAAAAGGTGAGAAAACTAGAGAGTATGTGATTCTAGGATGCTTATACTTGGAATCATGACAAACACTTGTCCTTTCCAAGAAAAGGGAATTTTCAGAGGTTATTGTTTTCTCTGAGAATGCCAATCTCATGGTATGTATTGCTATCTATGCACTTATGGGATGTCAGTGTTGTTCTGTGTTTCAGTCAGTTTAAAGGTAACTGGCAGGGAAAAATATCAGGTACATATTACAAGGGAGTCGGGTAAAGGGACTAAGCAGAGGAAAGCGGCACAATGTGTTCCTAAAAGTGAAGCAGACCATGATTTTTGCATGGTATCTGTTTCAGTAAGACATGTATTAATCCCTTATGCTTTTCTCTCTCTCTTTCTCTTCCTATTCCACTCCAATTCCTGTTTTTTTTTCTTCTCCTTCTTTAGTCTCTATACCTACAACAAAACCCAACAGAAACAGGTACATAAGCATTAGAGATACAAAAGACCAGGGCTTTTATCTACAGGTGGTGGTCAGGGCCATCCTGCCTTTCCATGTTGTTAGATAGGAGAGAGAGATCATGGCTAGACCCCAGACAGAAGTTGCAGGGGAGCCATAATATTGGAAAGATGAGGAACCACACTTTAGAGCACCACCTCCTGATGCCAGATATTAATCTAATACTATGCATTTGTTCAAAGACCAGAGATCTCAACAACTCTTTTCTAAACAGTGCAGTGAAAGTGAGAAGGAAAATGGATGTCTATGTTACCACTTTCCTGCTAAGGTAGATATTTTGGTGCATAGCAATGAAATGGTTGAAAAACTAGCCAAAGAGAAATTCACAGTCATATAAACTCCAGCAGTTGATGGAAAATTTCACATTTTAGTATATACTTAACTTTTAAAGCAACATAAAAAAAATCCTCCCCTCCATTTAATATATCTATATTTTAGGCACGGGTAAATTTGAATGTATTTATTATTCCACTCAGCATAATAATTGTTCCTTTTGGTTTTGATTTAAGAAATATTTTTCCAAGATTTTTGTCTTTTGCTGTGTCTTTCATCTCTTCATTAATACTAACATCTTACAATGCCAGAGGACGCAGGGAAGAACTGAAGCTTAGACTTATTGAGTAATTGGAGAAGCTAGTAATTTGGGGGAAATTTTAGTATTAAAGCCTCTTTATGAAATCCATGTAAGGATATATAACACTTAACTTGGGATCCTAGAAGCATTTTAACCAAGGATACTATATTATATGGTCTAGATTAGAACTGTCAGCACAGAACTGAGCCACTTGCTGGCTGGTCTTTCCTGAAGTAGTCCCAGATGACAAATGGCACAGACTCTTCTGAGAGTCACAGTGGTTTCCTTGCCTCCGTGCTATTTCCAGGTTGCAGCTGACTGTTGGCCACTGTCAGTAAGAAATTATGACACTCCACTTGTGTTGCATCTGCTGGTATATAAGGGGAGAAAGAGGCGCAGTCATAAAATTTGAGAATCACTGGCCTACAGGTGTCTTCCTCCCCATGTTCCTTGGTGGTGTCCCATAGCATAACTATGCCTTCATTGTGTCAGCTTCACTCTTACCCTGAAATGGCTGGAAACCACCCCCCCCCAGGTGATTATATTTTAAATGAATTCAACTCCAAATGTGCTTTAATGGTTCTCAACCTAACACTGTCAGTTCTCACCTCACCACAGGATTGAATTTGTTGGCAGAAATTAAATTAAATTAAAATAGTAAAATTTGGGTATTGCTAATGGGTACTACAGGGAGCCCTAAAAGGAGTTCATGTTGTAGACCCATAGCCCCAGTGAACATCCTTTATTTCCCAAAGAATCATTTGAGTTGGAAGTGGGTCAAAGCCATCTATCCACTGCACTGCGCCAGGATTGTGTCAGTTGTTCCTAAATCCTCCCTCTAGATCTATAAACATTTTGTGGGATGACTGCTGGCACCAAATTAATCTCTTTTTATTGCACTAAATTAACTACTGTTGTTTGGAAATAAGGAATAAATAAATAACACTTAAAGAGAGTACATTTCTCTATCTTCTTTATTAACAGAGCTTGTTAAAATATACTCCCAGGCTTTTAGAAAATACGAGTTTACCCACAAATTTTGGAGACTTTTTATTTATGTTACCTGTAGTGTATCAAAATCAAAAGGAGAGGCCTGTGATTCTGAATAGATCATTTAGTAGGGTGTTTTTAATTTGAGCAGGAGATTGAGGATGACATTCACTTAAATTGCATCAAGAGAAATTTAGGTTGGATTTAGGTTGGAAAAACTTGCTCACTATGAGGGCAGTTAAGCATTGGAACATGTTCCCTAAGGAGGTTGTGGACTCTCCATTCTTGGAAGTTTTTAACAACAGATTAGACATTTGGCTGGATTAGATGTTTGCCCAAAGATGCTCCTGCCTTGAGCACAGGTTGGACTAGATGACCTCCTTCCAGCCCTATTTTTCTATGTTTGTACAAGCATATATTTTGGGAGGGAGTTTAGTCCAGTTATTGGGACAGGGCCATTGGGGATCTCTCCTGAGATGAGTGCTCTGTGATCTTGGGCAAGTCACTTCTCCTCCAAAGGCAATTGGACTCAGGCTGGCAGTATATTTGTCCATGAACCTTTAACCCTTAATGAGACTATTCATGGGAAAAAGTTTTGCTCAGTAAGGGCATCAGAATCAATCGCCTGAGCTTATTTTACAAATCTGCAGGCTAGGTATAATGTTTACCCAATTTAATAGTAATGGTTGGAAGTTTAAGTGCCTTGAGACCTTTGGATAGAAGGTAATGTAATTATACAGTTCTTCTCCTATGTCATTTCTAAATCCATAAATGACAGTGAACAATCAACTGAGATAACCCACAGCCTATGGGCTGATAATCACACCAGGTCTTAGTTGTAGTCCTGATCTTTTTCCCATGGATATAAATGGGAGCTTTAGTAACCAAGATACTTTTCAGCAATTTGAGTTGGGCCTATTACAGATGCAAGCAGCTGCATCATGGCTTCTTGAAGGTAGGCTACCTTGCTCTTGGATGAGTTTACAGAACTCAGTAGTGTAAGAATGATGTTGTAGCCATGATAGTCCAGAAATGATGTGAGAGGCAATCATTTCTTAGAGTGTTATCTTTTATTGGAACAGCTATGTTTTTGCATGCAAGACATTCTTGGTCAGGTAACCAGGTAATGTCTTGCATTCAAAAGCTCATCTACCTTTATCCCAACTACATAGCTGGTCTAATGAAAGATATCATCCTAAGAAATTCTTGCCTCTTTACAGTACTTCTCATTGGAGGCTAGAGTAAGCCGCTGCCCCTGCAGCACATTATAAAATGGGATTAAGAAATCATGCAATGTGGACTGGCTAGTAGTGAGTCAGACTCATTTGCGGGCTGTACAGCCACTAAATTGGTCTGACATCAGTAACCGCAGCATAAGAGCACGGACGCTGAAGTGATTCAAACCAGCGCCTTTGTCACCAGTCATTTTCTATTTATAACAACAGCACAGATCCATTTTATAATCACAATGAGGCACAACAGGAGCAGGCTTTGTTCTGCCTAAATCACATTTCTCATGCGGGTAGATTTAAGCACTCAGCCTTTGGCCCCTTGCCTCACACCACACACACCCAAGGCTGGTGTTTCTGACACAACAATGCACACCCTGTCGTGCCTGAATGCACAAAGCCCACTTAATCCCCTGCTCAACAGCTCTCAAATGTTCCCCAAAGTGTGCTGAGTTGCTACCCTCCCAAGCTTGTTATTTCCAATGGCATTTGGAGACTCAGTCTTTGGTTTCAAAGGACATGAGAGCCCATTGCATTGTTTAGTGGTGGTAATGACTGGGCATTGTTGGCAAGAAGAAGTGGGGAAAAAATCCTTCTTTCATAGTGGCAAATCCACTGCTGTAATTTGCTTGGTTTTTCAGAGACCCTGAATCCCTTCCCAAAGACTCCGTTGCTGTTGAAGCAGACCCTCCGTTGGTGCAAATCTTACAACTCCTCTAACGTCCATTGGATTTACCCCAGCTGCAGATTTGGCTCTATATTGTCTAGAGAGCATTTAGGATATGGTAATCCACAGACTTTTTTTTCTAGCTCAAGTGGTTCATTTTTGCAGGGGAATGCTGGAAAGAGGTTTAAGTTCAGGTCTGGGCAGGCTCATTAAAAGCTTCTATGTTGCATTAAAGCGCAGTTACAGCTGGGGACAATGGCCCTTATCTATTTACCTCGAGGGTCTGTGTGGGATTTCTGGATAAGGAAGACAGGTTGAGCACCTTGGTGTACTTGTGATTTTCAGGCAATGCACATAATCTATGAACACATGATAGTTGATTTGACTGGCAGCTTGTATGTATGTGTACAGCTCTTACCATAATAGGATCCTGATCCGAACCTCGGGGCTCTGTTGTGATAAACACGATAAGTAATACTACTAATCATTGTAAGAAAAGTCATTTCACCTTACCTTTAATGTTACAATTGTGTTACTGTACATTCTATATATTGTGAATACAAATTATGTTCATTTTGCATATCAGGGATATTTTATTGTTGAAGAAACAGTTGAGCTACTTGAACTTCTGAATTAAATATAAATCTATTCATTGTTCCCTTCTAGGCCAATGGATAAAAGAGTAGAAATTTCTGTTGTTTCTTTGACATGTGTTGAATGAAGAAATATATCTTGCTAAAGCTGGCCCATTTATAATGCTGTTTTCCAATCTTGATTAGGACCCAGTAATTTGAATAAAATTGCTTTATTTTCTCATATTAAGTAAATAGCAATCTGTCGTCTCATTCTTTAAATCATTAATAATTTGTTATAACAGCCAAGATTTGCTCAGTTGTAGGCACAGTATTAATTTTGTATCAATGACACCAGAACACTTTTCATTTCAGTCGCTTCTAAGTAAAACCCTTTTAGAGATTCATGTGGATAGAAGACTATAAACCACTTCTTATAGCATAATATATGGAATCACAGGCCATCTGAAACAAGAAGCATATATTAAAGAAAAGAGCTACCACTACAGACACGGGAAAGCAGTGTTTCACGTAGACTCAGTTCCAGCAATGCCATCTTTGTTCACCAAGGACCGCACACTACATGAAGTCCTATACAGAGAACAGAAATAGGTAGGCTGACTAGTATACTGCAAAGCAAACCTCTCATGCCATTACACTGCAAAATGTTATTACAGCTGAGCTCCCTGCCCTCATTGCAGGAGCTCTTCATATAGGCAAGGTGTTTTGGAAGACGTGACCCAGAATCCCTAATAAGAACGAGAGCGTATCTGCATCTGAAGAGAGGAACAGAAAATCTGTTGGATTGGTAGGAGCACAACTTAAGGTCTCAGGAAAAAAAAGCCCATCCGTGTATGTACTCGGTGTTCGTCAGCCCTCTGTCACTAGCCAGTCTCTGTTACAGGACACCTGCTGGCTCTTTGCACTGTCAAATCCCTCCCAAAAATCACATTATGATTTCTTGTGATGCCTCTCAGCACTCACACCGCTTACACAGGAGAGTGATCAGTTCACCCTGTGCACTACAGGCCAGCGTCCCCTTCCATTTGCACTCATGCAACTTTGTTGGGGCAGATCCTGGCCCTCGTTGTTCAAGTGCAATCTAGAATAGCACCATGACTTTCAGTGGCAGGACTCTGGATATATGCCAGTGTCTGTGATGCTGTTGGCTTTAAAAGGTCTTTGATTAAAATGGATGAACAGCCTTGAGAGCCGGGCCCTGAATCTAGGGCTTTTTCCCTTCCAGGGCATCGCCTGCCTCTTTGGGCCTTGCAATTAGGCTCTGTCTTATTTGCACTCCTTTTGGCCCCATGATTTTCGTCCTTGGCTGCGTAGGGGTCCCTGGCCCTGGTGTCCGTATCTCTCAGACTGGGGACCCCTGGCCTTGCTTTCTGCCCCTGTCGGGCTCTGGCCTGAGCTTTCTTGGCTTCAGGCTGCCTCTCCTGTCTCTCCCACTTAGGCTTTGCTCCTCTTGGCCTCTGCCTGTGTTTTCCTTGAATCCGGCCCTTGGCAGTGCTTAAAACACCCTCATGCCCTTCGGGCACCCTACAGCTTGGGCCCCTAACGACCAGCCTGCCTTTTCTTCCTGCTGCTTAGCTGAGCTGTTTGCAGCTCTCAACCCCTGAGCCACCCAGGTGTCAGCCCTCTGTGCATCTTACTGTTGGCAGCTGGCTACAAGTTTGTCTGTTTACTGGCAGTCCGCCTGCTTTCTGGCTGCCAGCCCTCCCTGAGCCGGTTCGGCCTGCTACAGTTCCCTCTGGCTCCCTCCTATAATATCCTGCTCCCAGGCACAGCTTTGTGCAGTGCCAGGCACATGGCCAACGCTACCCTTCATTTCATTACCAGTACAGCAGTGCAACGCTGCACAAGTTTGTCACCGTGCCACTACTTGCACTCAGTACGCCAGCGTGGCCCATACCACATTGGTCCATCCACTGCCATCTCTTGCCTCTGACAATGGCCAGTGTTAGATGCTTCAGAGAAGCTGGAAGATACCTCTGTAGTGATCATGTATGATTTAGTGGCTTCGATAGGCAAAGCCCCTTCTAAAAATTCCCTCTGTGCTTCTCTTGCTTGCTTGCTTGGTTTCTTATCTTGCTGCTCATCACTTGAGAATAAGCGAAATAGGGAAAGCTCTCACAGACTTCCTGGAATCTCTCACCTGCCTTCCTTTCTTGGGGCAAACTCTCTGCTGGGGAAAGGGTTGTGTTTGTTGCTAAATACCTTCTGCAACATTTGGTACCTCCTGCATTGTAGGCAAACTGTAATCAGTCACAGTGGTAAAGCGGCTTAGACGTCTCAGGTGTCATCCATCCTTTATGACTTCGCTTTCATGAGCCCAGCAGATGCCTTTAATTGCCAGCCACTGCTGTTGGCTTTCCAAGCAGTAGCAGAGAAACTTTGGAGTCCCCCTGGCACAGGATGAAACAAAGGGGCCCAGTGCTGTTATGACAGTTTCTTGCACGGAGCTTGGCTTGGGGAAGAATGGCCTCTTTCCTCCCTTTAGATAAGCACAGAAATCTTAAGCAGATGCTTGCAAAACATCAAACAAATACATGCTTTAAAATATATATATATATATATATATATATCGGTTATAGCCACATGCCCCATAACATCGCCAAATTTAATCCATTGCTAACAGTATCTCGCCTCCTCCAGTGACTCTGCACAAAAGGAAACACTCCACAGCTTCATGGGTGGAAACTGGGACCATCAGCCCCAAAATCAGAGGCCTCCTGGGCTAAAGAAGTGACTGGCTCCAGAGCCACATGTGCAGTGAGCACATCTGTCTGCACAGCGTCTGGGGGCTCCTGTGAACACTGCCAAGAACCATGTCCTGTCTACCTGCTCCCAGCCCTGGGACTGAGACCATGACACTGCTCTGTGGTGCCACTAGCTGTTGCTCTCGTATACTCCAGAGCGAGAGAGCTCAAGAGCAATGGGACCCTCAGGGCGGCTTTGCTGCCTCATTTCTAGGCTTGGCCACTGAAGAATAGTAAGGTGGAGGCAGAGCCGTGAGAGCTTAAGAAGTGGTATTGGCATTCCCTGGGTTAACCAAAGAGCCACAACAGTGTCCACAATCCCTGGGTGAACCGTGACACAGGCCACTTCAAAGAGAAAAGGGAGAAACACTTTAAAATGATAAGTCGTGTTTGTGGGAGACTGGCAGGGCTGCTAAGGTGACTTGCTAGTGCTCCAGATGTGTGAGCTCACACCCTGCTCTGGGTCAGCCTCTGGATGAGGGCGGGAGAGAGGTTTGATCAATGCCTACCCTATGGCCTGGTTTGCTGGGAAACAAGGTTCAGCCTCCAATCTGGCTTGCCTGCTTCCTAGGCAAGTCTCCAAACCACCAGGCTATTCGGTGAAACACAGAAGGGCTCTCCTCCTCCTCTTCCTCCATTTTGCTTCCAGCAGGTTTGTGCACGGGGCAATTCTATGTCACCGCAGAGCAATATAGTCCAAAACTGAGCACAAGTGCCAAAAACTGCAGTTTTGCAGTTTTGGGGTGCATGAAGCAAAATAGGATTTAGCCCTTAGCATTTACTGATTGCAAGAGAAACAGCAAAAGCACGCAGCAAAAAGAAAAAAAAGCCCTACCATTTTCTGTGAAGAGCATGGGTGATAAGGTGAAGCAGTAACATCACTGGGGGTTGGTACCTGACCCAGGCACTGGCCTAGATTGGGGCAGAGGTGCTACCCAGGGTGAAAAACCTACTTGTTACACCTCTGAGTTGAAGCCGTGGTGTGTCACTGGCTGACAGCAGTACTAGACTTTCATCTTCTGTTCAGCTACTAGAGGAAAGCCGCACATTTAGGGAGCATCTTGTGCACAAAAGCTATCTTCCGTTGTCTAAAGGACTATTTAAATATGAGTTAAGGAGAAGGTGGAAGAAAAGGAGTCCTGGAATGAGCTTAGACGCTAGGGCTGCGCGAAGCAGCACCATTCCACTTCGACTTCGTTTCGACGGAGCAGTGTTTCTTTTCGAGTTTCATTTCATTTTGAAAGCACTGTTCTGTTTCATTTCGTCAAAACTGTTTCACTGTTTCGATGCTGTTTCAACGCTGTTTCAGTGCTTTGCTCATAGGCTATTCTGCACCCAGTGCCAGGAAGATCACCGCTGCTGCTGCTGGCCCCAGCCAGCAGCACCGGCCTCCTGTTATCTGGCAGGCAGATCAGGGGCCTGCCCTCACCCCTGGGGGGAGTCCAGGACAGCCCCCACAGCCCTCCTGGGGGTGCGGGTGAGCCCTCAATCTGCCTGCTGTATGACAGGAGGCTGGTGCTGCCAGCTGGGACCGGCACTGGGTGCAGCCCATGCCGGGAAGATCGGTGCTGCCA